TACCGCCGGGACTCAACACTCCCTCCAGAGCCTGGGGCCGGGACGGGAGGGGGGCCGGGACGGGGGCCGGGGGGAGGGGGGAATGAAGGATTAAGGATAAAGCGGGTCAAGAGGTGGGTGAGAAATACCCGACAAGGGGGAGGGGGGAGGGAAACCGACACACTGAACCCTGCGTAAAACGCGGAAGGAATGTGAACTGCCGAGGCCTCGCCCAAAAGGTGGGGTTGGGGTCCGTTGTCCCGGGGGAACGAAAAGTAATCGTGGCGGGGGGCAGGGGGAAAGACGAACCACGAACGAGTGAAGCTGCTGCCAGGGAAAGATGCACAAGAAGGGGGAAGGGGGTTGAAAACGGTTAGGGCGGATGCGCGCTAGGGGCCCATGCTGGCGGGTTCAGGCAGTCACACGACGCAGCACTAGGACATCCCCCTCCCCTCCCCTTCGGCAGAGCCCACTGATTTGCCAACAACCCGCCGTACACGCATACACACACGTGCCCCTCTCACCTCCTCGTGAAAGAATCTCTTGAAACCCGCGAGCAAACGAATGCGGTACTCCTACCAGGGGGTTGGGGTGGTCGAGGTACGTAATTGCCGAAGAAACCTTACTATTATTAGTATTGATTTAGATATGTGTTTGTGAATCATGGTGGTGGTGGTGGTGGTGGTGGTGGGAGAGGAGGGACCGAGGCGAGGGCCCCAACACAGGGTCCCTGAAACCCCTCGCCTTTATCCTTGCAGCTCGCACGGGCAGGCTCGTACCTGCTACGGGGTCATGCACCTCCTAGACCGTGTAAAACACACGGACACGTATAGACACACACAACTACACACGCAATGGGTACACCCGCACCTTCACCCGCACCCGCACCCGCACCCGCACCCGCACCCACACCCGCACCCGCACCCGCACCTGCACCCGCACCCGCACCCGCACCCGCACCCGCACCCGCACCCGCACCCGCACCCGCACCCGCACCCGCACCCGCACCCGCACCCGCACCCGCACCCGCACCCGCACCCGCACCCGCACCCGCACCCGCACCCGCACCCGCACCCGCACCCGCACCCGCACCCGCACCCGCACCCGCACCCGCACCCGCACCCGCACCCGCACCCGCACCCGCACCCGCACCCGCACCCGCACCCGCACCCGCACCTTCACCCGCACCCGCACCCGCACCCGCACCCGCACCCGCACCTTCACCC